AACTATTAAACAAAGAAATAATGCTCTAGAGAATGGAAAGTGATCTGAAATGGGCAAAACATAATTATTACTTCCAAGTTAAAGAGGTCTATTAGAACTGTTCCTAAAGGTTTTTGTTATAAAATATGTGCAAAAGTTTGGAATAATCAGATATTCTAGATTTATAAAACTGCAAAACAATATGGAAAGATTAAAATGGATGACTAGCTTGTGAAAAAACGTTGAAAAACATTGGATCCTGGACCCAGTTGTACGAAGGGTGGATAGTACCATCAGACAGATAAATCTTATCCAGTTCATCAATTTATTGGATAACAGCATCAACTTATTATATATCCATTAGATAAAGATTTATCCATCTGATAGTGCTATCCACGTACCATCATTCAACAGAGCCCTGAGGGTCATTCAAAAAGAAATGCCAAGAGAATTACTGGACTATTGATGAACACTAATATCAACTCTTGTAGTATAATTAACATAAGTGGTACTCTCTCTAATCAGTAAGAATGAAATTTTAAAAAATTCTAGACATTATAATTAAGATTATATTAAAAGTTAATGACTTTTGATAACAAGTCTGGAATATTGTCTCAATACATTTGGTAACTTCAAAATACATCAAATTTGAAGCATCACTATATTCATATTATTTAAGAATTCATAGTTATTTAATAATCCTAGTTTCCCATTATGTCCATCTAGCTATGAAATACATTGTTTGGCAAAATTTAAAAAAATTCTAAAAAAATTAATCTGACTATTGATTTTCTCTATTTTCTGACTACGAGAAAAATGTGAAAATGTATTTATCCCAAATTCCGAATAAAAATTACTGCGAATATTTCCCAAAATGAAAATTAACTGTGTATATATGCATGTATATATATACTGGTTTGATCTGCATGTACATGTATGTAAAGCATAAGGCTACAGTGTACATGAATGTCTGCATGCATGACTTAAAAGGCTGGGAATGGTCTGGAAAAGTACAGTACATTGACAATCCATGATTCAACTAAGCTTGGAAAGCTAAACCTTTTGTGAATGAAATCAAGATATTTTTTGAAGCAAAAGCCGTGAAAATATACCAAAATGAACTATTTATCTGCCAGATAAAAAATAGAGACCTCTTAAGATTTTAGCAAAATATCATAAATGCCAGTTTCTTGCAATCAGTTTATTCGTTACAGTTATGAGTAACTGACAACTACATGACATAATGCTTGCCCTGTTTCAATAACCATTCGTTTATTATTCATAGGAATTCTGCGTGAGTATTTCCCCGGCTCAGTTCTATTTTCTAGACTTTCAAGGAAATGTCACCAAGTGAATGTTTCCCCAGCTTTCAAGTAAATGTCTTTTTTGGGGGATGTGATGAAGAAATGGAATTTAAAAATACTGAGCTGTGAAGAAAATAGTGTGTGTATTTAAGAATTTTCTTACATGGAGTTAAATTAAATTACCTGCTGATGAAACATAACAATGTCAACAAATTCTCAATTAATCATGGAACAATTCCACAGGTTTGTTAGCTATAGACCTATTAAGTACTGCCCTTACTAAACAAGACTGATTGAAAAAATTTTGGCAAATATGATAGCTGAAAATGGGGTTTTTACTTGTGGTGAGTGAGAGCAAATTTGTACAAGGTTGGTGAAGTTTATCTAGTTAAATTTAACAACATATTGACAAGACAATAACCTTTGATAGAAATTCCCCTCTGTAGTTTTAACCAAACAATAAAAATAGTCAATTATGCTTGCTTTATAAGTTACAGTGTATAGTAAATTTTTATGTTCAAGTAAAGCTAAAGAACACAGAAATTGTATTGATCTCAAGTCTAAACAAAATCCTTCAAAAGTACCATTATTATCATAACTAATAAATTATAATTCTCAACCCATCAAATTTATCCTATCCTGATTCTAAATTAGCTCACATAAGTAATGCAGCTTTAATAAATTCAACAATTACAATATTTCTTTTACATAGATAGGTTTTGGCTAGGTGACTTTCTACGAATATACTTCCAAAAAATATTTCACTGCTAATTATATTTGTTTTTTATCACTGAGTGACTTTTTATTAAACAGACTTATTGAACCTTAAAACTGTCTGTGTTGTGATCATGACCAAACACAATTCAATGAATGAAGTTTCTCCATTCGCAACAACCATTCAATATAAACTTAAAACCATTTACAAAGTCAATGAATAGAAAGTCACAAAACTAGTCATAAAAACAGAAATCATTTTCCTACTCCCACAATAATATTTTGTGGCTTAGAAAGTTAAATCAGAAATTCTGAGTTATTGAAAATAATGCTATACTTTAAAGAGGTGATATTAAAATTTCAAATCTATAACTAATTTAAACTTGCCGATATGAGCAACCTCGAAAATTTGAAATTATTTTTTAACAATAATTCTAAATTCGACATAGAAAATTATTTGGAAATGACTTTAAATTGTCTAGACACGTTCTACGAAAATTTTTAAAGGGTTCTGCAGGAGTCGAAGGTAATTTCAATATTATGGTAATTTTTTATCATAAGAAAAAAAATGAAAAATGAAAAATGAAATGGGTTTGGATTTTTTTTCAATAAAAACTTCAATCATGATAGAATTCTTTCCAGCTATATAGGGATAATTCTGACGTTGCTGGCTGTAGTTTCAATTATTAGTAAAATGAATATTGAAACATGACTTGAAAAGTAAGAACACATATATATACAGGTGATATGTACGGTTCGAATGAATATTTTACGAAGTCTTTGTTCACAAAAAATGATGGTCTTACAAACAAGCAGTGAGTAAATCTTATACAGAGCTAAGTTGATCTACAGTATACTACATCTACCGAGTTCTTAAAAATAAGTAAACAGTGTGATCGCACACGGAAAAGCGTCGCTCGTACGCTATATTACAAGATAAACATATAGACTCGACTCGAGTCGCTACTATCCTTTCCCTTTGAACGGGGATTTGGACTACATTATCTTAAGACAGCTTAAAATCGGACAAAGAATGCAGATTCACACAACAATAATAGCAAAATGGCAAATCTCGACAATAAACTCCAATGGATTAGAAGATCAACTCGATCGCCATCAAGTAATGCTGCATGTTGTTATGCTAAAAAAAGCTGGTATCGGTAGCCAATGGAGGGTTGCAAAAGCAGCCATGTTGAATTAGTAGCTGAAGTAGTAATGGTGCAAATAGATTTGAAGACACCAGTTTATATCTAGTACTGAGCCAGGAAGTTAGATATTGTCTGCAGTCATTTTAGATCCATGCTAAATATCAATAAAAAATAATCTTACTCACCAAATAAAGTCGTTGCAATGAGAACAAAACGTTGGCTGGCGAAGATAAGTGGCCATGAATTTGTGGCCATTTATTTGATGAATTTTTCTTCTCATGGCCCCTCTTCTTCGGTTTATTCCACCGGGGTTTTCTTTAAACACACGATGGGCTGCTGCAAAACAAAAATTATAGCGTGAGCCACCAGTGAAACAAGAATGGCATACATGACAGTACAAAGCAAGCTCTTCCTAATAGACGTGACCTAGATGGCTGTTTGTATTCACTTCATAACCTTGCAACTATAAATACTATTGAACTCGACGATCCACCATCAAAAATAAGGACAAACTTCAAAGGAATAGTAGTCATATATCAAGAATAGTGCATACTTTTAAGTTCGATGTTTACATGAACTTGGCCATGTGGTTCCAGGGGAATCTATACGAACAAGACATTGGTTAGCAAGCAAGGACTGGCTTTCGAAGTTAAATCTCATGTACAAAGATCATAAGCCAATGCATCGAGAATTTCAGTAAACTTTACCCAGAACTCCGAGAGCCCTGTCTTGATGACTTCTTCAAATAACACTGAGCTGTTGGCAATAAATGGATCAGGAGGCATTACCGAATTGTGGAATACAGTGAATTCTAGTTTGTGCCCATTTTCGATGTTTGCATCACAGCTTGCGTTCCAAACTGGCGTTGAAGTTTTAGTCCCGGACGAAGTCTGATATATTTGAACATCGTCCACTTTGACCAACAAATAAGGGTTGATTACAGATAATTTCACACCCCAATGGTATTTGGCGGAAGGTTTCAACTCCTTCGCTCCATAAATACGCAACTTTAGCGACCCTGTAAAGCCCACCATATCAGAACGACTCCAATTCCCGTACGACGGTGAGTTAGTATTGGAGCTACACTCTCAAACAACCCGGAAATTTACGGCCAAACTGCATTCTTGGAGGAATAAAACACCGATTCATAAACGAAGATGATCTGTCGCGTTTTTCCTGATGACAAGGTTCGAGCATCGATCGAAGTAAGGACGGAAGAACAAGAAGAATTTGTCCGTCATGCACTGCGTACTGGGTGGTGCGCATTGGAACAAAGAGACTGGGAATAAGTATCAGAGCCAGTTTTAATTTGCATTTATATTGAACTAATTTACAACTCACTTTGAAATAATTAAATAATTAATCTTGGAGTATTTCTTAATATTTTTTCCCGCAAAGTTTGGTGATATTTTAATTTTTGTATTGATAATAAAGTTCTGAATATTTCCAAAAGCGTATTATCTTAACTATCATTTGTATTAGTTTTTCCATTTTTTAAAATTGATCATAATGTTAAGGTAGTTTGTATATACATATTTTTAGTATTTACTTTTTTTTATTTTAAACGTAATTTTTTTCATCATAATAATGCTTTGGCGTTTTTGATTTAATTCAATTTTGTATTTGTTATATATTTTTATATAGTAATATATTTTTTATCCTATGATTTTTATTATTTGATTTATGAATATTTATATTTCTATCATAGCTTTTTATTTGAATTTCATATCTGGTATAATTCCTCTTTAATATGAGCGACTCTTGATATAGTTATAAGGAAAACAAAGGGCAAAGTTTACTTGCCTTTCCGTTGCTGTATATTTCACATTTTTTATATATCCTCTAGATGAATAAATAGGTATATTTCCCTGAACTTATCTCATACTTTCATATATCAATTCTTTCGCTTTGATTTATTTAAGGAGTAAAGGGAATGCTGTTAACAATCCTGAATAAGCAATCACGATCAGTTAGTTGTCCAATCGGACGGACTAGTAATATTCTTACGAAGGGGTAACAGCGCCTGGATGTTTACCCCTTCAATTATAAGTTTTATTCTGTTATATATACTATTTCTCCAGAGAAATGGCCGGTATACGGAAATGACCTTGATGTTTGAGGAAGCACAACACCAACTCATTACAATAAACACTAGTTCTTTATTTTTAAACTACAAGCGCTTCGCTGAGCAGCTTCACGTACTAACGAGAGACCCCAGGATGCTCTTTGGTGGCAAAATGTCACTTTTGTAATTTGCAAGAAAGGTTTAGAATTTAAGTATAAGTTTAATCGGTTAACTATTAAATCAGTGATAAGTATTGCTTTTTTTATGTAAATAAAACACTGACAATTTTTTGTTTAATAAGTGTTTCAAAATGAATGGAATTCATATGCGTAGGAGGGGGTACTACCGCACCCATTAAACTGCACCCCTTCACCGAAACCAAACCAAACGAGTTTTTGCTATTTAATTCTTAACGGTGTTTATTTATAATACATGAAATTATCCTAGCTGATCATAAGCCGTGTTCGATCGATTTCGTTTCGAAAATTTTGTTACCCTGGTGTTATATAACCTTACCACATTTTTGTAAGGTCTAATGGTTCCTAATGGTTTTGCGTAAAAGAATTACTTTATTTCCTGTTGTCAGAAATAGATTCTTAATATACTTTACAATACAAAATAGATGATAAATTTACAAGTTTCAACTAATAAAGAAAGTACAATATAGATAGTGAGAAAAATAATTATGAGGTTCTGGGGAGCTGAAGTAACAAAGGTTTTCAAATCCAGCTCCCCATCATTCACTTAGAAATGAAAATATTAAATATGATCTACAGATAGGTGAATTGCTTCAATGAAATTAAAGAGATATGCAGTGATTTGATCTGAATTACGATGTAGATAATTTGTCTTTTAGACCACTTGTGTACTGCAATTTCGTCTTGGAAGTTACTTGCTAATTCACCAATATCAAGCTCTCACGATTGAAGATGCATCTATATTTATGGGAATAAGTCAAAGACGTACACATTATTATTTTCAATTTAAAACAGTTTTCGTATGAGTGCGAAACGATACGTCAAATTCGTCGCCGTACTTTATCTTACCGTAATAATCGTAACTACGCGTTGTGATTGGATTGGCTGGAAGACAATGGGAAGCTATTTCAATGTTACGACACGTGGTACGTAACGTGTACATGCGGTTAAGCAGTTCCCACTCTTACGATAACCATTCTTATAAAAAGCCACTGCAATGTTACGGCATGTCGTATAGAGTACGTGCTGTAAGACAGTACTGCATTTCCCACTCAACGAAAACCGTGTAAACAAAATTGTATGCTTAACTCGATCAGAAGGTCATCTGATGATTTTCTGCCATTTTGTTTGTTGTTTATAAAAGAATTAAGCGGGTTCTGTTTAAAGTTATCAAGATCAATGTTTAGAAAATTAAATAAGGCTCCGTTTTTCGTCCACAATCAGACAGATCACGTGATGTGTTGACATTATAGCTGAGTTAAACAAATCAAGAAGTTTAATTGGTCATGTGCCCTTGGCCGTGAGGGAACTGGAGCGTTTCATTACACTCAGACCGATTGGTCCAGTAAACAATGCTGGATGTAACTGTAGTTATATTTGATTGGCGCGTTAATTAAGCACATAAGCCAATCCGAGATGGAGGAAAAAACTGGGTCGAGTTGGCATTGCAGTGCATTATGGGAAATATTTTCTGGACATATTTCTTCAGTCTTTTCCTCAATATCGCAATGGTTAATACATTGAAACGAATAATATGGCGACCAATTTGAATAACCATTGTTCTGGACTGACTAGCCTCTATTACATGTCAAAACGCTTTTGTGTTTACACATGAACACAAGGCTAGTCAGTCGAAAACAATAGTTGTTCAAATTGGTCGCCATATTTCGATTCGGGGTATAGGTGGATGCATTATTTAGAACCATTTGGATTATGAGGTGGAGGGGTTTTCATAATCCCGTGAAATTCGCACTATGATATTTCTTTCACGGGTTCATGAAAATCGCTCTACTCTTGGGGTTCTGCTGTAAATAACTGACAAGAATTAAAACTATTAAAATGGAGTGCAAGTAGTTTTATTAACTCGCTGATTCTATATTATATATATTTATATATATCATATGTATATGTATGTATATATATTAGATTCTTTTTGTAGACGACGTTTTTCATTAATAATTGGCAGTTTCTACAAAACCATAAACAGTAGAAAATTTTACAAAAATATATATATATATACAATCTAATTGGGATCTTACCACAAGCGGTGAAAATTATCATTATTATAATAATTATTTAAGGGATCATTGCGGTCTGACTAGATTGTTTGGTTGCATTTAGTAATTAAGCGAACGGAAGTGACGTAGAATGACGTAATAGTGAATCCACTATGACGTCATTTATAGAGCAACAACATATCAATGGCTTGAAAGAATTTAGTTAGTTTGACATTCTTAAATAGTGAATTCAAATTTTATGCAAAAGCAAGTGTGTTGCCGTGTGTGAGGGACCTGGCGCGAGGTTCATGACCACTGCAAAAAWTTTAGCTAACAAATAAAAGCATCAATTCAAGTCGTAAAATATTATTTTATGAAAGTGAAGTCTAAAAGTAAGCTTAAGTTACTTCCATTCGCTTATACTATGATTAAACTTCAAGCACAAATCTTAATTCCAGTTTTATCAGTAAGTCACCATTAGGATGAGAGAAATTTAGCTTAAAATTATGATCGTCACATGAGAGTAAATCATTAGTTCAATCAAGTTGGGAAAAATCCCTCCCTCTTTAACCCCACTCCTCCCCTGGTAGTGGCGGTTATCGACCATAGGTCCTTACTCTAACTTCTGATACGAAGCAGTGGTATGTTATGGAATATTTATGAAACGTTATTCGTAAATAAGTCGACTATTCTTGATCCTACAAAAAATGAAAATTGGCTAATGAGTAAGAAATGAACTGGTTTTGGATGAAGACTGAAAACGATAGTCACGTTAACAGTCATGCGCAGTTGTGTATAGATATAAAATAGCGGATTTCGAATTTTAACGTAACCGTAAATACGCGTTCTGATTGGATGTCTCGTAGACAGAAAGCCATTTCAAGTCACCGCTACAGCCTGTCGTAAGGTTTTTGTACTGCGACTAAGCACGATATGTTTCCCACTCACAGGACGCCGGAAACATACAGCCCTCTTGCCAAATTCTCAACTCAACTCTATTTGGAAAACATAACAATTAGGCTTTTCTTACTTACGAGAACGTGAAGACTGTTCCCATTCTGTAGTTGATTCTAAACTGAAAAACCTCCAAAGGGTTCTCTTGATAAAAACTACACGTTTACGATGAATTCTATATTCTAATAAAAGGACTTGGATGAGAAAACAAACTAAATAATCTTCTTTGCCCGATCTTTATCAGAAAATTCGTTCATTGCTTTAAATTACGCCAAAGAAAGGAACGGTTGATCCTAAACGACAATAATGAGAAAATGCTTAAGACATCTAGGCATACTGCGCATGACTGTGCACGTGACTGAGGTCCAGACAAGATACCAAACCTTGAATGTTTGATAACACATTATTTTCTTCCACAGCTCTGGCGGCCATTTTGAAACGTAAGCGAGCCTTTGCATTCAATAACAACCCTCGTTTTCATGTGGAGGCTCGGTTGCTTTTTAAAATGGCTGACAGAATAGGAAAAGAAAAATCAGTAAATGAACAAATCAAGAGTTGGAATCAAATTTAATAACATTAAAGTGTTGGTATCTAGACTGGGCCTTCTACTGAAATACCACTGTCTTTGTAGTATAACACCCTGTAAAATGTAACCCTATAAAACATGCATGCACGTACCGAAACCAGCCACCTAACAGTAATATTAATATTAACATTGTCAACCCTGCCCACCAATATTGTTTAGCGAAACCTATTCTCTACTGTTTCATTTAGAACATCCTGCCATTTTTTCGCCGTACAATGGGTATAATATTTATACAACTGGATTCTTGTCAAGTATGAGCTCTCCTTCAATGGGCTTCATCTTTAATCTTGGTTGCTATGGTAACAGCCTGTGGTCACTTACAACCTTATATATACATCGCACCATGTTTTCATATGGTGTTAATCAGGTCATGTCTATACACGTACCAACCAATTCTGTCCTTCCATTCAATGTAAGGAAGTCAAAATTCGTTCTTCATCATCATCCTCCATTACAGAACTACGTTTCTTTCTTCTCTTCAGTCTTGATATGACTTGCACATATTGCAAAAGTCGCAGAATTCCAGGCAAAAGGAATCGCTAAACTCATTCGATTCTCCCGCAAAACAAAGTCCTGATGTCACGTGATTGTGATGACTTGACGTCGTCGTGGCAACAGTTAAACCATCCGACTCCCACACATTGGTCGCGACAAATTTTCATTGGCTTAGAAGATTGACTTCTCGCAGCCGCCATTGGATGCCAGAGAACACGTGGGAAAGAGCTCACGTGACTGTCTCCTGTGTTCGATTTAAGGGCTTGACAAACCTGAAGCAAAATGGGATGAATTCGATTAGTTCAGAGAGTTGGGTATTTTTGTGCTTCAGAATTGGCTTATTAGCCATTCCGAGGTTGAGCTAAAATTTAGTGGAGTTGGCATTGAAGTTTCCTTAAACAATCCCAGAACGCACTGCAATACCTATTCGACCAAGTTTTTTCCTCAGCTTCGGAATGGCTAATTTTCAGACGCCACAAAACCCTTACAGACTGTGTCTGCTTCGTTAAACTGAGTGTAATGCTTAACGGACTTCATGTATATATACTTCAGTTGGGAAGAGAAAAAGGAGGGAAGAGGAGAGGACAGAAGTGGAGGGATGGGAATGGAAGGGCAACAGAGTTCAGGTAAAAGAAGTGCAAATATAAACACTACAGACACGTACCAACAATGTGCAAACATTTAAACGTACGAACACAAATTATTTAGTGACCTTTAAGTGCTATTGATGTCAGTTGACCCCTTAATTAACCGTTAATTATATGTGTCTTATTGTATACCCTTACTGGCTATCGCATCAGTATTAAGAGCAATCATTTTCCGCCATGCTTTGGAAAAATTGGAAAATGAAAAGCCATAGGGAAATGAAATTAAAATTGGAAGGAAAGATAAGATAGTCTTTTGGTGTCTGTACAGTACCAGTTGAAAATGCATTCATGGCGGGAATTGATCACGCGACCGGTTAGTGCATTGAGCCAGTTTTCTACCAGTGATTAACTGTGCTGATTGAGGCTTGCTTAATATTATAGTATTATAGCCATCATTAGTCCTAGAAAAATCTCGATTATTCGTGTTCATTTACAACTTAAGTTAATTTATGACAAGTGCTAGTAATTGATCATAGATACGAAGTGCCGGTGATCGTGCTGCTCAGCGGTTTAACAGTGGTTTAGGCAGAATCAATCATAGACAAGTAGTGCTAAAAGTGGCTTGGCTTTCAGTCTTTCAGTAGTGGTGAAGATCATTGGTTAATCTGTTATTTGCGAGCCAATCAGTGCGGTCGAGCATTACCTTCCTTAAAATATAACTTATATCTCCACTTCTACTTCTTGCCAGTAGCCTTTATCAAAACATCGATTAGGAAAGGAAATTTCGCCCAAATCCTGCTCTGGGATTTTGTCTGTGAGCTCCAAAGACATCCTGCAATATAATCACCATACATATTGAATAAAGTGTTCTCAGTGAAACACGAGGTCGGCCAACCGGCAACCAAAAAACAAACTTCCTTCAATAGATTTTCCGCTTAGTCCGCGAAATATAGGTACAAAAAATAATCGAATTTGGGTTTTGATTTATCATTCATGAGAAAATAAATCAGTAAGGAATGACTATAACGAAAATGCTCATGGCTGTTTGGTACGATCGATCTGATTGCGCATGCGTAATAAATAAACTGGTGCATGCGCAGTACGGCTTGAACAACATGACTTACGTCAAAACTCTACGAAATGATGTCAAAATGCTAATATGACGTTGTGTTGACTTTCGAGTGACGTGAAGTAACTAGGGAATGAGATGCTGAAACTTTTGGTTTTTAAATATAATCTTTCGATTATACTATTCGAGTTGGTCTCCTTAGCTTTGTTATTGTCTCAAGCTGTTGTTCGTTCTGTTGCAGATTAACTATTAGCGCGATTGGTTGTTGTTATGATAACAATGTTATACAGCTAGCGCACTTCAGTTGCTGTTGATTTACATATATAACAATGAGTTTTACTACACTTGTTGTGACGTCATATAATCGACAACGTATGAATGACTTAATGTATATTCACAGCTTAGACACAAACTAACTTATGGTACAACAAGTGAAAGAACAAGACATGACAAGTCTCTTCCCCACCCTCCTCTCCCATACAAAAGTTTGCCGACCATTCATTCTTCGACGATCCTACAGGTCTTCCCACCCTCTTCTTCCCTTCGAAAGGTTTGGCGTCTGGGGACGGGGGATCGTGGGTCACCGTACATACATTTGTTCTTATGTGATGTTACGCGCAGTAGGTGTAGGAAGTCCCTAACGGTGCACTCAACGTACACTGACAGTTTATTCCCCATAACAAGCTTTCTTGCAAGCTTTCGTTTTAGTCCATTTACATCAATTTCAGTGACACTGTTCATGAAAGCATTTTTTTTTTTTTTKTTTCTCATGGGACAATTCTATGTGCAATAATGAAGAAATAGAAAACGCGCGCGAGTGCTGTCTGCTGTCATAATGCACGCGGGGGTTGGCAGAACACGAGAGAAGTGTTAGGAGAAGAACGACGCGTAGCGGAGTGCTTCTGGACACTTCTGCCAATCCCCAAGTGCTTTATGACTGCACACAGCACAGCAAGCAAGTTTTTTATTTCTTTTATAAAATACAAATTACGATAATAGATAGGAATGAAGCAACGGAAAGTGCGCGCGCGTGCAATGTGCTCTCATAAAGCACGCGCTCCAAACCAATCAGAGCGCGACATTCATAACAGTTATTTTATAAAGGCTAATAAGTTTCTGAGGCGTTCCTTAAACTTGTGTATAAGAAACAAGTAAATTGAAAAATGTATTGAAAAACGAAACACAGAGCAAAATTAAGCCTATCCCCTCCCGAGGTGCGGCGAGGGTTGAATGTTGAGATAAAAGCATGAAAAGAGCCAAATGCCTCCTGAATACAACAGAAATAAGTATTTTTGTTTTTAAGCTCTTTGCAATGTTTCGAAAGTGGTGACAAATCACACTGATTTCATTTTTATCACAAACTTAAAGCAACAGTAGTTACAGCCTCAGCACCCACACAAGAAGAATTTCTCTACACACAAGGTCAAGTTTACTAATGTCAAAATCCTTGACTCGCGATCTACGATAAGTATACTGATGCATCCCAGCATCACGCAAACCAACACAAATATTCAAAAACGTGCAAAAACCAATAGCCTTACCTCGTGTCCTCTGTCGAAGTGCTTGCTTTGCATTCCAGTTGTCTTTCTTTACTGATGCGACTCGCTTTGTCGCTATTTACATTTTTCTGGTTCGACCGCGAGGGTACAAAATTTATAATAATATCAGGAGTAATATTGTTCTTTGTTTTGGAAGTGTTGCCCACACGGCATTGTTTCAAGTCTGTGTCACTTGACCCGTTTATATCGGACGGATCGACTTGTTTCATACGATCAGTTCGTGTGTTGGGCTCCTCTGGATCGCGACTTGAAGTCGTCGGTAAACAACAATAGCAACAGCAAGGTTGTCGCTTGCGATATATTCTCCATAATACACAGCCTACTATTAGGCATATTATAATAAGAAAGCCGAAGATGACGGGTAAAATAACGACTTTTAAGTCACTCCAACCTGAGAGAGGAGTAAAAGAGAGAACTTAGTAGAAAGCAAAACAAAATGGCCCACTTCCGTAAATCTGTCATTTATTTTTTCCTAATGTTATTAAGTTATCATTTGAAAATAGTAATACTGAATATCAAAATACTAAGGTCATCTATATGTAATGTTCTAAACCTCCTTAATACGACACAAAGCAGACTTATCGAGTGTGTGTGGGGGGGGGGGTGTGGATTGGGGTAACCGATTGTAAGGCCAATTGTCAGTTGACTGCCAATAATTTTGCAAGTGCAGACCATAATATTACACCCTGTTATTGGTTGTGGTCGTGTTATCAGGGTGTTAAAGGTAATACTTTAATATCAGATAATAGTTTACCTAAGGTCTGACAAGTAAACTTACCAGCACTTGATTCTCCTTTTCTTTGTCCTCCTAAGTTTGAAAAATAACACAAGACAGTTTTAAAAAGATGAAAATATCAAGAAAGGACTTTTACCCATGTCAAATGAGGGGGAGGGGGAGATAAAATATATCGCGGTCTGCAACAATTATAGAAAAAGGATATAACAAAAGGCTTGATCACCACTTTGGTAAAAATATCAAAGTGCTGCTTTTTTTAATTTCATCCAATATGACGTCACAAAAAATGGTAGCTATGACGTCAAAGCAGTAAATGCATCTTCAGGTACGGATCCATGTTAAAGGGGCCAGGGGGATGCCTCCAAGGAAACTCTTACAGGAATGCTATTTCCTGCATTCTGATGTATATTCTAAACCAAAAAAGGTCAAAAAAGTGGATTCCAAACCGCCCCAGCATAAAACTGTTTTTAAGATGAAGTTCAATTAAAAGTAGAATCCAATCTCCTTACCAATAATTGTAGTATTGCCCGAGTTTCCTGTTGTATTAGTCCCAGGATTCTGGGTGATTAATGGCTGTCGTGTTGTCCGCGGTAATACTACTTCGCATGCTTTCCCGGAGAAACCCGCTGGACAGCGACAAGAATAACTTCTTACTCCATCAACGCATGTTCCACCATTTTTGCAAGAATTCATCTTACAATCATCAATATTAATTTCACATTGTTTCCCTTGAAATCCCGCAGGACATGAGCAGGTGAAATCTCCAAATTTATCCTAAAGTTGACGAAAAGAACTGTTTTAAAATCTCTTGTAATGATTCTTATCAAAGGCATTCGCAATTTTATCCATACATCGGTTCTCTGGTCAAACACAAAGCATTCAGTCGAGGTTGCAAGGTCCAAATTTGAATAACCCTTTTAAAGTACCTTGGCGCCTCGCTTGAGCGCTTTTTTGTTTGACCAGTGAACTAATGTATGGAAAATGGTGAATATTGCGCAATAACATTATTATTTCGAAAACAAAATTTCCACTAAAATTAAAATTAAATTGACTCAGCATCACATGTGAGTAGAGTTTGTAAGGTCTCTCTTTTTGTCCAAAGGATTTTCTTCGGGTTCTCCGGTTTTCCTCCCTCCGCAAAACCTTATAACAATCTAAATTCCAATTCGATCTGACTTTGACTTTGATCAGACAAGTAGCTGTTTCAGGGTTCGATCTGTGAATTAGCCGTTCCTTGACTTTGATCAGCCCTGGGGCTGTTTCAGGTTATCGATATAATGTGAAAGTTTATATTTTGTTTAGTTGTTTGAATAGACCCCACAGGTTTAATTTTGACAATGTGGGGGGTGTATCTTTTAATCAAGCTCCGATATTTTTTAGTATTTTCTGCCTGACCAACAGTATTTGTTTCGTACTTACTGTGCAGGTGCCTCTATTTTTACATGGATTACTTGCACATTCATTTAACTCTGTGGAAAAAGAAAACTGAATGAATAAATAGATTCAAGAGGGAAAAAATGGTTTGGTTAACTATTTTCGTTTTCTCCTTTAATTCTCTTTTCTTTTCTTTTCTCTTCATTTCTTTTACTTATTGCTATGTTGTTGTTGTCGTTTTTCTTTTTTCTTTTTGTTTTTGTTTTTGTTTGTTTCTTGTTTTTTTGTTTTGTTGTTGTTTTTTTTTTGTTTTGTTGTTTTTTTTGTCGTTTTTTGTTTTTCTTGTGTTTTTTTTTTCTTTTTTCCTTCTTTCTTCATTTCCTTTCTTATATTCCCTCTATTTCTTTTGCTTTCTCTTTTTCTATTCTCATTTTGCCTTCTTTCCCTTTGCTTCTCTCTATTTCCCTTTCTTATTTTTTCATCCCCTTTCTTTTCTTCTCCCTTTCCTTCCCCTCCTTTTACATATGGCTACATTACCTGAATCACACTTCACGCCTCCATAACCCTTGTTACAAAGACATTTGTATCTTCCAGGGGCAATGTTTCTACAGTCACCATGTTTACAGGGTTTGTTTCGACCACAGTAATCCAGCTCTGTACAAAAAATAAAACACATCTCATTATTTGATGCAATGGGACGAGCCTACAAGAATCAACGGCGTGGGTGGCGTAGCGGGTAGTAAACTCGCCTCTCTCTTCTGAGCCGTCTCGGAGTCGATTCCTGGAATTGGCATCGCGTGTGACTAGAGTTTGTTAGGTCTCTCCCTTGATTCGAAGATTTTTCTCCGAAAAAACATAACACGCTAAATTCCAATTCGATGTGTGGGTTAGCCGTGCCTTGAGCCCGTAGCTTGTTTCATGATTTCATTTGTGAGTTAGCTATGCCCTGACTTTGATCAGCCCAGAGGTTGTTTCGGGGCTTGATCTAAGATAGAATCATACCCTGACTTACATCAGCCCAGAGCTTGTTTCAAGGTTTGATCTGCGAGTTGGTCATGCCCTGACTTTGAACAGCCAAGAAGTTGTTTCAGGGTATCGATAAAATCATAAGGACTCTTCACAGATATTGAAATGAACTACGTCATATATTTCTTGTTCTTACCTAAATCACAGTAAAGACCTCCCCATCCTGACATGCAGTTACACTGCCATTCGCTTTTGCACGTGCCGTGTACGCATCCGGGGTATACTTCACATTCACTACAAGTAGGTCCTCTCCAACCTTGAGAACAGCTACATACGCAAACCAAACAAAACAATGAGAAATGACGTCATTCCTGAGTTAATATTTTTACCACAGGCAACCCATAAAATAATACTGCAATAATAAAAGCGAAGACGTTGATCGATAGATAAGACGATTGCAATCCATTGACACTACTAATTCAATACTATCTTACCTGCAAGTATTTGGACCAACGCAGCGCCCGTTTTTACCGCAGTCCGGATTACAAATCGCTGCAATAATCAGAATTACGATTAATACAAGTTCAATGATCACGAAAACATCTCATAATAAAAGACTTACGATTTAAAAGAAAACTTACGATTTTCGCAATACTTGTCGGAAGGATGTCCTCCCCATCCAGGCAGACAAACTATATTTCCATTGGCATCGCATGTAAAATGCCCAAATTGATCGTTTCTTGGAGTACAGGCTTTGGAGCAATTGGCACCAAAGTTATTAGGCGCACAGATAAATCTATATGAGAGATTAAGTTTTATCTTGAAGCCATTAGTTGTGTTGACATCTTGGGTGAAATTAGACCACTCAAGACTTGCTCCGTAAGACGGTGTGTTGATTAGCGCTTCGATGATAGTATTGCTTGACCCTACACAAACAAAGATAGCAAAGAAACGGGATTCATTACAGAGTACCTAACAAATCACTGGTTTAAAATGTAAGGTGAATAGTGACCTCTTATCGACAGATGACTTATGGCCGTTAGTTTTCTAACACGCTAATAAAGACTGACGAAGACTGAACCACAAAGTATGTGCCAAGTTAGCCTCTCAACCGATGTTCTGTGCTTTGAGAACTGCTTTTCTTAAGAAAATGAGCTCCTTGCGTTAACAGACTGTACTATCTCGTCCCGCGTATTGTATTGCGCTTTTAAACATACATGGTAATGCATAATAGACCGTTTGCGTGCACATCCAACTTGACGGGCCACAAAACTGAAAACGCAAATTCAATAAAAATTGAGAAGCCAGTTTTATATTTAAAGAGGAAAATAATTGATTTTATGAATTCTTATCGTAATATCTCAAAGAAATGACATTCTCATTATAATGCTCCTGGTGTGGTATCGTGGCCCGTCAAGTTTCTTAAATTTGAATGAGTGCGCAACCTTGAGAAAACGATCTATTCTAGTTGATGGCTGGCGCACTATACATAGAGCGCACAGTGCACTCTGCAGTAATGGAAAACAAGCATGATAGTCGTTACATCGGGGTCGTAGCTTTAATAAGTCATGATTAAATTCAATATGTATAGCTGTGAGGGGTACAAAGAGGAATATACTTTGTAATATCAATGAACCTTGGCTTAAGGGAACAAAGAACTGCTGATAGTATTTCAACGATACACATTCCTGAATAACCCGTTTAAGTCGAAATAAAACATCACTCGTACAATCTTGTCTAGGTGCTTGGTATGAGTACGGACGGTCGGAAAGCGCATCGTAATTTCAAAATGCATGTGTATCTCACCATTAGATGAAAATAGAAGAAAAAACTTTGTATGGAAACTTCAATTTTTTAGGACGTTCTTTTCCTCTCGCTTCCTGGCGGGTAGAAAAGGACCTTTGCTCGCAGGGTAAGGATCTCTAATTGCTATCGACTGTACAAATACGCCGTATTCTAAAACACCTGTCCATGGATACTAGTAACTAAGTTTAATCTTTGAAAAGGTTTCGTGACGCAAAGACTTCTTGATAGAGAACAAACTAGTATTGCAGTGAGACAAAGTTCTTGGAGACATGTTTCATTTAAATCTTCGATTTGCCTAAGCACTTTGAGTCTAATTAGAGCTCATAACCTTATTGACTTCACCATTTGACTAACAGAATAGCCTGTTACGGGAATCACTGGCAAGGAAGAGATTTGTCAGTGGCCTTAGGTTATCTTTCTGTATATAAAGAAACTTTCATATTGAAGGGAACTACTCTGCATGACCATGGAAGACATTGTCCATAAATTGTAGAAATGCGTCTAGGGATGGTTTGAAGCATACAAAATTCAATCTAATCTGGCTGGTCGTCAACCAGATGGCATAGATCGCGGTATTTGTCATTCTCTAATCGTTATTCAAGATGTTAGGGAACAGACCATTGTTGATTGTTTGAAATGGCGCGCGCGGTGACTATTTACCACCCAATAGACGGGTAATGAATGCCAACAGATAGGAGAGGATTAGCGACTCATGCTGATCGACAAGCTGTTATCTTAATGTACATATTGACTTAAGAAGAATAAACAAATTATACCAATCATATWTTCAGATGTACCTTCAAGAATGGTAAAAGGTACAAAATTCTTAGCACCTTATTATTTTGATCAAGTTCTCATTTACTCTGGTGATGAATCGAGCGCACGTTCGGGTCACGATTATCAAGAAATGTCAATCATGAAATGCGTGAGTTGGTGCCTTGATGAGAACACTTAAATCTAATCAGTTTTAATAGCAATTAAGCTGTGAGATGYGAGATAAGATAGACGAGATCGAAAGACCTCGACCCACAGAGATCACTTTGCATCTGCTGACGATTTTTTTTCAGACGAAATCCTATCCAACGCCCCATAGCCGACCGGACACTACAATGAGTCATACACTATAAAGAATCAATTCCTCTTTATGAGGTGAATATGATTTCAATTCCTTTTCCTACGTGCTTTAGGAACCGTGCAACTAATACTCGGAACCAAAGGCTAAATGAGGTTGATCTTTCTAAAAAAATATTTTTCGGAGGCTACGTTAGTTACTAAAAAGGCCATAAGAGCGAGCTTATCGCTCTTGGAGTTTTAGATTTACATATGCGAGGTTAATTGGTCGCCACGACGTTTTGGCATTCTGTGTCCACTGTGATTTACACGCCGTAAATTCGAAGAGGATAATCGTGTTACTTTTACTTGATCAACTAAAAACTGATCCCAACACCCTTTATCATGATCAAAAAAGGGGGGTGAATAGATAGCCTGGTAGCAGCCTAAAAGGGATGATGGCCAGGTTTAATAACGCGCTGGAATTCTGCATTTTATTAGGGCATAGTATACCAAGACAACCAAAACCTTTTTTTAACGACTCTAAACTGACACCCTTACAAAACAACTATAGCTTTAGCATGGTAAAAAAACGGCGAACTTCGTGCTCATATTGACTTCTCATAATGGTTTTTTATTGTTTGAAATTAAAATCAGCAATTTGCAATAAAATCACGTCACTTAGTGTAGGACTAGACTAGGACCGTTTTGTTACAAAGATCAAGTGGGATCCTTTCATCAAAAGAACATGTCGTAGTTTAAGCTTGTTAGTAAATACAAGGCCAGCTTTGTCATATATGTCGAGCACAACTGATCTATAGAGTTTATTCCAGTGCAGATCATACTCGGGAACCCAAGGGTAAAATTCTGTCGCTCGTTTCTCGATCCCAGAAAAACGAGAAAGGAGCGACAGAATTTTACCTACCCCTGCTGGGGTTCCCGAGGATGAGTACAGACCTACTTTCGACACACGCTGTCGTTTAATGGTCAACTATATATCTATTGTTCTTATCTATGCAACACATAATTAACAAAAGAGGAAACGTTTTTCAGTTAAGTCTGTTTTCCAATACAAAAAGTTGACATACGATTCGGCTAAACACGGGCGGGAGTCTTGCATTACATGAACATGCCTCAAGGTCCATCGTTTGTGGTTTCAAAGGCGATGTATTTATCAGAGGTCTAAGGGTCAGCGAACACAGTCGTTTTGACTGATAGTAATCCAATATACTTTTTATCGAACGCGGTTTTGCATCGAAGGAAATGGATAAGATACTAAAACCGCAGTTTTTACTCACGAAAAAAGGCGAGAAAAATCGATATTAAGATATTACACATGCAAAAGACAGAATGCATTGAGCGTAGGAATGACAGGCTTTAGTAATGACTATAAAATAAAACTCTGTACGAAACTTTCCACACAAATCCGAACGTTCTTTTATAAAAATAGAAAAATGTTCTTTTAAACAAGAACATTCGCAGTAACATTGACGTGGCTTCCCATTGTTCCCGTTCGTCTGGAGTCCAATCACGCAATGGAAAATCGTTTTCTTTTTTTTGTACCGAGATTTTCAAAGCACAGAAAAAATAATTTCTCAAACCCTAAACTACTCTACGACTGTTGCTCTAGTAAGGACAAAAGTGCAGACCCAATACATAGTCGGTACTCCTTATTTGAGCCATACACTGTATAACAGTAATACACATGTTAATCTAGTGGTCACCACGGAACTTGTAATAGATAGTCGCCTCTTATTACTGCTATTCAATTATTTCCAATAACTGATTTCACTCTGCTCTAACATAAAARGATTATAATATTTATAATAATATTTATTATTTATAATGCGCAAATTAACATGTAATTGAATATGATCAAATRCGCAAGAACCAACTAATCAATCGCCGAATCTCTAACCGTTGCCTCTCCTTGGTAGAGATAATTGAAACGAGTAAAAAAACAGACCAGCCATACCTATCTTTTAACCCTAAAACCTGTTATTATTGATCGATATTGCACGTTTATGACAGACCAACCCGACCATAAAATTAAGTCGTATATTGCGTGGGAACGGTGAATATGTGGGAATCATTTACCTGCGACTTTGGCTGTTACTTTCAAAGAGAACGATCCCTAAAAATAGAATAATTATAAACTCAAAGTCAGAATTGATAATACAAATGGATATTAAGATATATATATGYATCTATGTTTGAAAACGTTGTGGGGAGGGGAGGGGGGTCGATAGAGAGCTGGAAAATAATATATGTTTTTCAAAGTTACGATGAAACGCTTGATCAAGTTTTATAAATAAAAAATGCAAGGCGTTGAATTGTTTCATCGTTCCTCTTGTGTCGAGTTAGAATGATATATAACCTTTCACTAATTGAGTTTGTCAYTGTCCTTCCCATTGCCAGCCTTCAGTGCAACCCTTTTAATATTAAACACAAGTTCACTATAGTACAAAAGAAAAAAACATGTCCAATACCGGACATGCTTGGCTTCTTAGCCATTAGTTGATTGTTTCACATATAAATAAATGATTCAAATTGCAATGCAAGTTCTAAAATTTTCAAATCAAACTCCGTCTACAAATAATGAAAATAAAATAAATAATCTAACTACGGTTTTTGACAACTTTTTGTATGACAAACATTTTAAATGCCATTGGAAAATAATTTTGATAAAACTTCATAAAACTATGAGTAAAGTAAATAAATTGATATTTCCTAATAAATATTTTTCAGTGAAGGGTTCATAAATTACTTGTGGTCATATAAATATTTTGAGGATAAAGTTCTTGAGGTATTTTTTCTATTTATTTATCGATGAGATGATAGAATATTGAACGATCTCTTAAATCAGTATCGTGTGAAGAATTCGTGTTCAGTTCATGTCCCAAAGCAGTAAACAAAACTAACAGACCACGTGGGCGTGAGAAAATTAAGAAAGSCTGATAAACATAGCTTAAGGTAGTCATAATAACTTAGTACCACAAAGGTAGCGTAATAGTCATAATAAACAATGACATCAGTATATACGGACTCAAGGACAGGGCGCGGGATTTATGCTTCGAGTCGGGACACGAGTGACAGCAAAAGCACGGGATTTATGCCTCGAGTCGGGACACGAGTGACAGCAAAATGTAAACTCCTAATAGATAACATAGGGGAAGAGAGCCTAAGGCCCCGTCCACACTATGCCGGATAAATTTGAATCTGAATTTTTATTTATTCGGTTAGGCCTACCGTCCACACTAGTCTGGGCGAATCCGGAATAATTCTTCACCGAAAACGAATTTTCGAAATGGAACCGAATAAATAAAAATTCGGATTCAAATTTATCCGGCATAGTGTGGACGGGGCCTAAGATACATGGCAATTGAGTTCTATAGAATGTTCAAACTGCAGTACACTAGATCAAGACGTCAGTTTTGGAACTCAATACGCAACTCATCTATACTTGTAAGACTATCTCTGTTTTGGAGAGCTGAAAAAGTCTTAGAAAAAAGATGGAGGTCACAAACCCCTCCTAATGATTGTATATTGATATATATTAATATATTATATATTATTTTAATGCCTTCCTTACCGGCCAATTAGGAGTAAATGGAAATCTTGCAACGTTGTTACTCGTGAGAATGAATGAGCTGTCATTATAAACGCGCGAAGTGTTGTGGCCATAAGTACAGTCTGATGGATGTGCTGGGCGTGGATACTGCCTTAAACACGTATAAAAGAACGTTCTACACGGGCTGGAACAAACACCCTTCAATTCAGTACCCGAGCAACACTTTTGATTCATGTCGCGATGCCCGGGATTCCAGATCTCTCGAAGCTTAACCTCAAACACTCCTACCCCGATGACCTGAAACGACAGCAAAAAAACATTCAGTGAGAGTGGTTAGTGTGAAGAAAGGAAAACAGACTGTCCTGAATACATCACAGCACTGGAGGCAGTGATATTGTACAGTTAGAGATCTTACATGTAAAAATGCGCGTCGTCTTGAGAGAGGGAAAGTGATGAGAAATAACAGCAAAAACTGTTTAGCGATAGAAGAAGAAAAAATGGAGAAAACGAGAAAACTACTTTTTATGACCTCTAGCTCTTGGTGTAAATTGAAAAAAAAAAACCTGCTGGAAAAGTCTCCTTCAATATCCCCAGTACGAGAGTGAGAAAGGAGAGTCTCCTTTCCTTCCCTCATCGTGGTGAAGGTAAAAGGAAGATTCTSCCAGCAAGGTAAAAACTATGTTTCTGAATTAAAAAAATATTATAATACGGATGAAGTGCATCACTATGGTAAAGCATGAGATGAATGCCTCAACTGAGAATAAAGATGGAATGTTCGCAAGAGAAGGAAGATGATTAAAGACAACAGTAATCACAAACACACTCACTTATGGTAAAACAACAAGGATCAAGTGTAAACAAATGTGTTACAGCTCCATACGGTACAACACTAGGTTGACTAGGCTAACAGCAAAGGTTAAGAATGTAATGTTTCTCAAGAGAGGGTCGGGAAAAAGGAGGGTACTGGGTCGATAGAAGAGAGATTAATGAACGGAAGAGATTAAACAGCTAGATTATACATCTTTCTCATTAGATTCCGTAACAATATGCTAAATGTTGCGTATTCATGGGGACACGCCTTACATAGAAATCAAACCAATTTTGCGTCTTAAGAGAAAATGACATTTTAATGTTTGTAGGATCCGATTCCATTAAGGGTGTGTCTGGTTATCCATTGAGTTTCGGTGTAGTTAATACAGTCGGGAATCTGCCGACATGAGGTGATCAGTAATATTCGTGTTTATAAAGGCAAAGTCATTATAATTTGAGTGCATTAAGGTTTWAAAAAAATGCGAGTTAGAGTTTAAACTGAAGGTGAGGACTAAATTAAAACTATTCATTTTTCTATTCATTTGAAAACAACTGATAAACTAGACATTTGTTTAACAACATGGGAGTTTATCAAAATCCAAGAAAAATGCGGAGAAATACAGATAGTTTGTCAGTCATGGTGAAGGACTGACGCTCCTTGCACTAGACTTTTTAGGTTAAACATGGTTTTTATTTCACACCGCATGTCACGAATGTTACATGTTACGAATGAGATTCCTTGCGTAAGCTATTATGCATCTCCTTAATTGTTATCAATGAACGACTAATTTTACTCAAGGAAGTGACATATATGGTTTGAAAGAGGAATGGGAAAGAAATAATACTCAAGAGAATGCCGGTACATGGTCTAAAATCCCGAGCTAAAAAATATCGGATGCTATTGAAAATTTTGAAGTTTTTGGCAACTTTGGRTGGAAGGAACAGACTGACCACCACGAATGGCTCCAATTGTTTTCGATAGGCGTTCATTTCAAGCTGTACAATGACCCGGGTTGCAGGGCGCGTACCGTAATCGAGCTAACCGTGTTTTAATGGAACRATAAGAGTAGAACACCCAGACGTCGGACGCCTAAGTAAAGACGTTCAGTGCCATGATGTATCGCCCGGAAACAACCCCTTAACTTAAACAACAATTTGAACCGGATAGAACAGGGCGTGAGGCTCTTGAGAAAGCTCCAATCTCCAAAGGTTAATACCGGGCCAATAAGAATAGAAATCGATCTAAAGCGGAAGTAATATGTACGAAGTTTCTGAGAGTACATCTCCTGATAGGAATCAAATARATTAGATTACAGGGAAATTGTAGGTAGAATAGAGTTAAGAGTACTTATGGAAATTGTAACCGAGGTGATTTGAGGAAGCAATGGGATACTCGGTTCCTGCGCGACGCCGGATATACGATGCATGTCGGGGAAGCAAGCAAGCCAGCCTTATCTTCACCGCGGTTTCTTTATTGTATGTTTACGTTTGTTTACGATTGTTTGGTCTCGGGGTGGTCAAAATTTAACCTCAAATTCCATAAAAATTCCAGTCTCTAATCTTGTGAAGTTATCGTAAATATACGTAGATATTAGCAGCGAGACACGATGGGCCCGGCCACCCAAACGGTACAAGAACGATTCTTGTGAACGAAGCTACGTTGAATGAGAAGATATATCCTTTTGCGAGAACGTATGTCCCAATCGGAAACCTTCTGTGCACCGGTCCGGAAAATGAACCAGACAGCACGGAACATTTTACGGAAATTAAAATTGGTGTAGTGGTTTTTAGTTGTGTGTTCGGGACCTCGGGGTTCGTTATTCGGGTCATCTCAGAGTGTTAACAGATCTTGTGGAATCCCCCATCCCATCCCCGATATCAGATGTGCTTGACGTCACCAACTCGCACCGAGTCAAAACAGATCCATTTTGTAAGAGGACGGTAATAGGCGTTTAGCAGAGTTTAAATGCAACCCGATTGGACGTTAAACGAAGGTCACTGGCGGTCGTTTTGGGCAGGTTTGGACGACTCTACTAGAAATTAACAAATTAAAAAGCTGACGGTCGTTTTGGGCAGATTTGAAATGACTCTGCTAGAAATTAACGAAATAAAAAGCATTGTTGCTCAATGAACTAAATTATAATGTACTCTTTGATATGATGATTATGAATCGATGGACTGTTTGTCGAGTATTGAAATGCGTCAACGCATCACTGCAAATCTTCTATACCCGATGACCCGAATGCTTAGAGGCAATAGAGTTCAAACCACGTTAAAAATACTGAATTTCACGGTACGAGGAAACAGGGTTTTTTTTATCGATGAGGAACAAATACCCTGCAAATGCCAAACATAGTACGTCTTGGTATTCGGGAAAGTTGCCTCTATCAAAAAGGGACGTATCTCCAAAAAAAAAAAAAAAAAATGCCGGGTAATCAATTCTGCTGATATCTAAGTCCTAAACATCAATTAACAAATCTAGTTTTATCCTGGATGATGCATTTAATTCAATTTTGAAGGCGATAGCAGGGATTAGTAGGCACTTGATTAGACCAGATGCCCTGTAATACCCCGATAACGATCAAACTGGTGGAAACCATCRGGATGTCATTCAGTACTCATTTTATCAAGTCTAGAGATAAAACAAAATCTTTATAAAAAAAACCGTCTGAGAATTTTTGAAATTTTGTTGAAATGGACAAATATTTTCTGTATCTGGTTCAAGGTCTTTCGAGGCGAAGGGCACGATATTCGTGGCGTATTATAAAATATACGTGAAGGAATTGCTCCCAAGAGAATTTAAGCCCAGCAAATCAATACGACGTCCAGTTCGCCCAGTAGTTCATGTAAAAATAGTGTTTTATCTTGGTCAAAAGCCACCCATCCTTTTCTACATATCCTATCCTGATAATACGTTTTAGCCACCCACGGTAGAATCCTACTTGTCAAGATAGTTCTAATAATATAACAGTCAATAAGTGGGGGGGGAAATACATCGATGTTTGGACGCTTACGTCAAGGGCTATTCACCAACGTCGARTAGGAAATGCCATCTTGCAGAAATTTTGTCGGTTCCGAATCGATGGTGGTCTGAACCAAAATACGGATTGTGATGTTAGGATAGCGTGAAAAAGAAGGTAAAATGAACGGACGAAAAACGGAACAAACGCCGTTGAAAAAATAACTCTCGATTTGTGCCGGTAGCAATAGATTTGGATTATATTTTTAAAAATTTAGTATTTCTTAGATTTTGAAGTGTATCACAGGAGTGCTTTCCAACTTATCATAGTATATCTTTATCTCTTGATAGCGTTGAATGGACTGAACTATTTGGCGGGAGTTTACAAAGTCATTGCGCTCTGCTCCTTGATAWCGGGGTAGTTAGGTATGTGGCTTAAACTAATTATGTCGAACGTCGCAGATAGCACTTGATTGATTCAGACAAAACTCAGCTTGCTTCTGATAAATTCACTATGATACGCTAGTAAATAGTTGCTGAATTAACAAAGTCAACTCATCCGAATCTGGGGAACTCCCTCGTGAACTTTCACTTTTACGTCAGAAAACTCTAAAAACTTTTATTTTTGGGGTCTTTTTGTTTTCTGGACTTTTACTTGGAGTAAATCGCAATACAGGTTTGAATTTTAGGATTTTGGATCTCTCATCAAGGCATACCCCCTCRATATATACACACGTGGTTTACCAAAGGATAATCTTATGTTGTCAGTGATAACAAAAACATTAAAATATCAAAAAARTAATACAAAATAATATTATTGCATGACAAGGCCGATTAGCTAAGCTTAAGAAAACATATGTAATTCTTTTACTTACATGAGGGAGAGAAGCGCATATRAGTATTAGATATAAATGTAGGTTGTGAAGAACGGATGGTATTCCAAACACCGTACAGAGTCTCCGATGGGATCTTCGAAGCGGCATGGGCCTTGGACTCCGAGCCGTCTGTGTGTTAAGTCACCTCTCTCTCAGTCGCTTGTTCTTYAACTCAATATGTGTCCTTGACGTAGCACTGTGAAATACGAATGACAAATTCATGTGAGCTTTGACTTGAAAGGACTCAGTTTAGCAGTCCACTTCACTAGATCACTAGATGTATACTAGTTCCTGTAGAGAGAGCGTTAGTGGCCAATTGACTTAATGACCGCGGGTTGAAATCACAAAAGCATGAGAAAAGTGCTCTCTTGTGACGGAAAACTTAAACTCAATACTGAACTAAGTAGTACTCTGCTAGCGTTGTCGGTTCCTGAAACMTACCATGCCGTCATTCAAATCCCTACAATTGTCTTCCATGTGATACTAACTCAAAATAGTAAAAAAAAGCATTCACAGGTCGTTACCTAATAAATGGGTCCGAGTCTAACGAGTTCGCGTCGTGACGGTTTCCAATCTTACCCATGAAAAACGTGCAGAGACTTGTCACAGTCTTACCATACCAACTGTAAATATTGCAAACGCGTAGAGTTTTCCCAGCAGTTATTTATAAACACTTACAAATTTTCTAGATTTGGATCTTTTACGTAATGTGAACAACATTCAACGTTACGCTAGTAGTAGCGACAACACACTAGTAACATGTTTGTCTAGTTATAGGTTAAGTCGGGCTGTGTACTCAACGTTCTGACCAACTCCGAATCTACTATCTTCGTTGGTCAACCATTTCTGGTCACTGACTTCATCCCCGGAAATACCGGAAAACCCATTATTTCGAAAATTGTTTTAATTAGCAAATGTTGTCTCCATAAGATAATGAACGGTCTTCCTCTGCGGTGTGAAGGCAAACTCTGTATGAGGATTTTGTTATTTTTGTTTAAAATCAAGAGCAAAGGCTTATAAAGGTCTTATAAATCGAGGAAAACTAGAGTCGGATTTCAAAACAGAAAAAAGCGCAGTAGTTAAATTGTGTGATTATAGYAACCCTAGAAGTCACTCAATGTTGAAAAATAAAATGTTAGAAACGTTGTTCTAAGCAATGAGATCCAAGACAGACCAACAGGTTGTTTGTAAGCTAACAAGCTACCTAATTGAGAAAGGCAGCGACCCCTAATTACGAATTTCYAAGTATATTAATCAAGAAGATTTGAAGACGTGAGGAATGAATTTTGGGCTGTTGCTCGACCAGTGAGTACACTTGGTTATGRCGACTTTTAAAGTCCCTAAAATGTTGAATCACCTGTGTCGTAATGATATCATGGTTATGCAAGCACGGTCGGGTACGTTCTACGGAAATGGCTATGCATAGGTGATTGCATACGCTTTGTTTTTACATTATTTTTAAATGTTATGAATTGTATTTTWAAAAATTAAAAAATCTCCCACATTAGTTAAGTTTGGGTGCCTGTCAAAGCGAGAGAGAGTAGAATTCTTTTCATTTCGTGGATAAATTTACTGATCGTGCATTACAAYAAAATTCATGTTGGGAATGTATACAAAATTAAGTCCACTATGACATGCAAAATCTATCGACCTGACACTTTGATGCTATAAACTACAATACCCTGCTATACCTCTGATCATCATAACGGTGACACAAACAGACCTGGTATYCAGATCCAAAAACCCTAATACTTACTCGAGTTATCGTAGTCTGACTTTCCCTAGTAGGTAGCGTCTAAGTAAACTTAGGTAGCAAGTTCTTGCAAAAGTCTTGCTGAGCTCGAAGAATTAAAGACAGTTCCCGTAGTAACTGCCTTCCCACGTAAACCTGACTCGAAATTGTGCTAATCTTTTGACTCGATCAATTTGACGAGTCATCGATTGAAACAATACAATAAATTGAGCGCGGCTATTTTATCCAACGAGTAATCACTCATAGGAAAATCCACGCGAGACTTGCACGGTTTATATTAGTGAGCCAAGCTGCTGATTATGTCAAGGCCTATCAGGAGAAAAAAAAACTTTTTTGCCTTTCACGGACGAGAGGTCAAGAGTACTATACTTAGTCATTACACCTTAGCGATTCCCTTCGCTGAGCCGCGTGGGAGCGCGTCTAGATGGCTTTTAAAACCTCTGCCGGTGCATACATGCTCAATAAGCTGAGCTCGTGTTTACATCATCGTATTTGAAACTCTGGGGTATGTAACACGAGGACGTGTTTATCGACCACCCGCATGTGTTGGCGATCGCGCTAAAGAACAAATAAATGGATTCTTCACTAAACATGAGAGACAAGAGACAGTAGCGAAGTGATAAGCAGATGGGAGATTGTGGTCGATCTGGATGGAAAAACAACACGGTCAGGGGTGACCCSGCGTGACCTTCAATATGACGTCATTGGACAGACAGACCGACAGACAGTACACATAATGCCACTGTTCCCATTCAATGTACAAACGCGCACACGACTTGGTTATTTTAACAAACAAACAYTGTATTTAATAAAAATAMAAAGGCACCAATAGTAAATGGCTCRTRGACACGAATAATTATGAATAAGTGCCTTAGGACCACCGTGTTCTTGAACGTGRCTTTAAATAGAATCTCGCTCTGTTTGCCTACGTTCACATCATTGTACCTAGCTTAATAACACCAGAGGTGTGGTTTGAAAACTAACTTTATCTATACTAAAAATATCCGTAATGAAAAACCAAGCAATTGTAAATATTTGTTTGAAAATGAAAACGCCTAGTTGTTTGTAACGAAATGGTGAGCACCAAAACTAGTCAAAAACATTCATGGAGAAGACTTTTTTAAATTAAATTGCGCATTTTTTCGACTAACAGCAGGACRAGGATATCACGATTCTAACATGTATAAGATATCTTCTTGAAAGTCCATTAACGACTTYGCAAACATAACTCAACGCTGCTACACAAACAGGAACGCATCGATCGATTTTTAAAAGCCCCCGTGCTTGTATAAACACTTTCCAGGGACCGCGAGGATATTTTTCCCTCAAGAACCAGGAAACTATCTTGTTTTTGTTTGTCGTTACTGCTGTCCTAACTAATCAATCATTCTTATRATATATATAGATCTTGTACTAGATGATTCTAATGAATTAGACTTTAAACAGAATGATAAATGAAGTACTAGATGAGATGGTAATCCAARGGAAACCATAGTGGATAGAGGTCTTATCCGGCAACCGAAGTTTTGGTAGTAAATACGTGAAAATCTTTTCTCTCTTTGGAATGTACTGATGACGAATAGGAACAAAATGCGCATTGTTGTTACAAGTCACAAGATTAGCTTGTTCTATCAAAACTTGCGCGTGTGTATATTGCAATACCACCCACCCACTGATGAGTGTTTGGTGCCATCCCACATAAAAAGGAATTCCCAGCAGTTTCCAACCCAGAATAAAGAAGTCTTGCACCACGAATGAATTCCTGAGTGCCTATATCACCGAAATAAGAGCTCTATATATGTAAGCATCTAGCATCCRCAGTTCTGACTTCTGTACCTGGTAAAAAAGAGGAGGACTTTGGACGTGTTCTGGTCTTTGGGCTAAATTAAATTATAAAGGAAACTGGATTGGCACCTTTTGGACCACCCATAAAAAGTTGAAAAAGGAAGGAAACTTGGTAATTTATTGGCTTAGTTCTGTGTTCTACTTGCATTGTGGTTTCTTAATTCTACCCAGAAATCGGGGCCAGCGATTTTCTCAAGTGCCCACTACTACTTACGAGCTCTGAAAGAGTAAATATAGAAGATTTTGTAAGGTAACAAAGACGATTCGCCTGKACCGAAATTGGAATCCAATTTTAGTAAGGTTAACAGGACGTTCCATGGTTTGGCTCTTCAAGTGAATACTAATATGATTCTACTATTTTCTCAAGCTATATAAAGACTTTTAACAAGCCAACAGCATGTAAGAGGAAACCGCAATTTGTTTGTGTATAATTTTGGATGAATTCAATGAATTCCTATTGCTCAAATATGATTCATGTATAATCGTATTTAACGAAGTGTGAGATTTGTGACAATTAGCAGATTTTTCGAGAGGTGTTTATAGAAAAACTATGCAGGGAATTCACAGCAAGCATGATAATTAAAAAAAGGCGAAAAGGAAGTTATGCTTGAATGATGTAAGAGTGAAGATTTCGCAAGCTCCGTCCTTACGAAGCAAAACGTTTCAGAAGATCGAATCCTTTCCATGGCTGAAATTAGTTTCAAAAWTTTTTTCAAGGTATCGCTTTTCAATTTGATTGATAATTTGTTTGTTTTCTAAGGGTATTTGAGAACGCGGARAGCTGGCTCTGACGCATTTTATACCAAAATACCTAGAGTCGAGCTGAGGTAATGCTTAAAAGTTCTCACCTTGAATCGACTACAGTAACATCCCAAGGCTAAAGATCACACATGGAACGGCCGATCACTTGCAAAGCTTGATAAATCTTCAACTCCTGACCAGCTGTCTAGATTAATATACCTCGAAACTGAGGGTCTAAGATTACTGACAACCAAACCGGTGATAAAGGAGGAGTTAGCTAACACACCTATCAAAGATGTTTTCATATGCCCAATGTGTCAAATCCTTTGGGTGCGACTCTCGCACATTCCTCTGCGAAAAAAACGCCTATGATTTGTGTAAATTGCTTGAGTACTTCCCCTGAGAGTTCGTTGAACTTCGAAAAMAGGCCGTGAAGTAGTCGTTACATTGGATTAGATATGTGAAATGATGGTATATATTTCAGATTGAATGATGGTATAAATCAAATAGGCCATTGAATTAACTTGATTGTGCCTTATTAYCGCTCATCATTATCATCTATTTAAGTCCACGTAAACTGCTATAACGGGCTAAAGCTTCYTTTATGCTTATATTAAATCCACTTTATATTTGTCTTAATATTTGGACTGTCATTTCCATCTATTTCTTATTATAATTCGCAGTTCAGGGCATGTTTATATCTACTCTAATTCAGTTAYGGAACAAACATGCCATAGGATTAGTTATCAGTGTAAAATCTTGATAAGGACGGAATTACGAACTACGCAAGTATAAATACGGTAAGCTTTGAACTATCCCTATTATCTAGAGACCAGCCCTYATAAGACATCTAATAA